ATAATAATGAGTTATCGACATTAGAATTTGAATGAGTGATCTCCCTTGCCAATATTAAGGATGGCAAAAATATCTGTAGCAATAGATATCTGTTTGAATCCAACCTAATTGGGTAGGGTAAAACCCAAACCCGAAGAATTTTAGTGAGTACACGTAAAATTCGAACTCGAACATTGCGGGTAACAGGCGGGCATGATGTTCTTACTATCCAACTCAAGCCCACCCGGTTATACACATCCCCTCCAACTCCCACAACTTCAACTCCAAAATGGTTAGCCCCATGGTTAGCCTCAGTTGCTTCCTTCCTCTTGAAAAGTCGATTATTACATCTCTGCAATGTTAGCGCCCTAGAATTTTGAGGTGTGTAAGAGACTAAGAGCTCACAAGTTAGTAAATAGATTTCTGGATTATTAATCGTATAGAACCTGGAGCATCTTCCACACTGTGCGGATTAACTAGTTTATGGATATGCACATAAATGGATGGCACCCCATCTCTTTTTTACTTATATATTTATGCAACTTTCATTACCTTGCTGAACTAATTAGATTTATATATAACACCATATTCATGTACAAAGTTTAAGTAATGTTAAATTTGAAATTGAAATATATACATACCTAATGAACTCAATTGAATGAAGGAGCTGAGGCAACAACGACGTGGCCGACGGTGGCAGAGGCACAGAGGTTGTGGAAAATTTTCCAAGCAATTGGCAACATATTATCCCTTGTTATGGTAAAATTAATAAAATGTTTAGTATTGACTAAGACAAGCATGCATGGACGCAGGACACCCTGAAATCGAGCCCCGGGGAGAACAAGACAATTAAGCGGGCGAGTTTTATGGGCATCTCAACTACGACAATTTTCTACCTTCTCTGAAGCTGTGTCGGCTACGCGGCGTTTGGAGAAGACGCGCCGGGCGATTTCCTCTCCAGCTCCGGATTCTGCCAACTGTTGTGGCTCCTCAACGTGGCCAACGTCTGCGTGGCTATCCACCTAATCGGCGCATACCAAGTAGGTCCAATTAAATTAAATTAAGTTAAATCCGTCAATGAATTCCCTTATAATTAGATATTCGTTCAACTAATAATTTTATATATATTGTGTCATTGTGTGACTCACAAGTGTTTGCACAACCGATTTTCAACTTCGTAAAGGGGAGCAGATTCGGTGAGTAACCTTGTGGTGAGTAACCCCATGCATAACCCAATAAGAATCTGCCACATTAGCGCCTCCTTCTCTCTTCTAGAAAAATCATTAATTTTCTTTCCCTTAATCTTTAACAGACGATTTCTCACTCGTTTTAACTCAGAATTTTTTTTTTGCACAGTTAGATCAGATTAATTGTGCTCTTCAAAATGATATCCACTTTGATAATTTTTGGAACAAAAAAATTTTGCCAGTTATTACCAGTCAATACCATATGGTATAGTCTATACCATATGGTATTGACTGGTATTAAATAACAGCATACCATATGGTATGAAAAATAACACCTCATACCAGGGTGGTATAGTATGGTATGGAGTTGGTAATGAGAGGTATGGAATTTTTTCCCCCAGAAAATTTTGAAATCCAATAGATCATGAATAAATCGTTCCTTTTGTGCAAAAATTTCCGAAAATGACTAAACAACGAAGGAGATACCATATGGTATGGAGTTGGTAACGAGAGGGATGAAAAAAAAATTCTCAACAAATATTGAAAATGGATATCATATTGTAGAGCACAACGAACTCGTTCCATCTGTGCAAAAAAATTGAAATCCGAGTTAGAATGAAGAAGATATGATCCAATTAAGAAAACTAGGGAAAATAAATTTCTTTAATTCTCCACCCTTAGATCTGCAACCACTTAAAAGAATGGTCCAGATTTTGTTACTCACCCTAAGGTTATTCACCCTATCTTGAGCCCTTCGTGGAGACCTGCTGTCGTTAGAGGTTGCCAGAGGTCAAGTTCGTGGCGACGGACCACTAGATCACCATTCTGTTTCTAGGTGCATGAGCTTTCACGTCAACTGGTTCAGACTGGTTTGGAGGTCTGCCTACGTGGCAGTAACCACCGTCTTGGCCACGTGTTAGAAGTTTAAGTACCAATTTGCAATTGTCCAAAGTAGGGTTAATAGCTTGTATATATATGTGTGTTGTATGGCCGCCTAGGTCAACTATTTTTGGTGATAATAAGAACTCTCTGTCGTAGTGCCGTTGACTAGTCTCAACGATCATCGTCGGGGAAACCATGTAATCTCGTGTGTTCGTGTGATCCTCATATAAGAATTCGTGTGTTTGACATGGTATCAGAGCCTGCCACTTTTAGCGTTTGAGTTGTTCGGGATCGTGTGGATTTTTGTGTGCTGGCTGCGTTGGCTTCGTGAGTATCTTAATATCATTTGATTCATGTGCGATTAAGGCTTTTGTGGGCAGGTTGGGTTTCTGGTACTTGCTTCTTGTGCTTGGGATTTTGTTTATTCTGGTTTGGCCATTATCTTGTGTTCTCCTGCCGCATCGTATTCATGGAAGGCTCCAAGGTTGATCCGATCTCGGTTAATTTTACGGGAAAATTTTTTGCTTTATGGGAATTTCAATTCCGCATTCACATTCAAGGGCGCCGGCTGCTGCATATTCTCGATGGCTCCTCTAAGGAGCCTGCTGCTGATGTGCCCGCGAAAGAAAAGGCCGACTGGGCGGCGAACAATGCGATGGTCATGTCTGCATTGCTGGGTTCAGTGGATCCTGAAATTGCTCTCAGTTTGAGAGGTTTTGCTACTGTTGGTGACATGTGGAATCATCTCACGAAGCTGTACTCTAAGGCGAGTGCATCCCGCAAGTTTGATGTGGAGCAAGATATGGCCGTGCTTCGTCAGGGCGATCGGGACATCAGTTCTTAATACCAAGAGGCAGTCCCCCTTTGGACTGAACAAGATCTTATCCTCAGCTCGCTTGCACCTTCTGCTGTGACGCCGGAAGTTCTTCAAGAGAGGTCTGGTTCCCGAGTTATGAGATTTATTATGAAACTCCGTCCCAAATTTGAGGGAATTCGTGCTTCTCTCTTACATCGCGATGTCACCACCATGGAGGAAGTTCTCTTCGAGCTGTTGTGGGAAGAGACCAGGTTGAAGAGTCTTGCTAAGCTCGACCTCCATGCTGCTGATCCTGGCGCTGCGTTTGCGGTTTGTACCAGTGGGAAGCCTCAGTTCCATCGCATGGCTAAGGGCGAGATCATATGTCACTACTGCAAAGAACTGGGAAATATTCAGTTCCATTGCCCTAAACGTAATTCATGCAACTACTGCAAGCTGGATGGTTATCTTATTCAAGCATTTCCCACACTTGCACAACGGGGTCGTTCTAGATCGGGTGGCCCTCGTGGTGGCCAAGGTCGTCATGCTTCCGGAAGTGCTTATGCTACGACGTCGGGTGAGGCTGGTTCTTCAGGTTCGGTGGCTGCCCCCCTCACGCCGAATGATGTTCGTCGTCTTGTGCAAGAGGCCTTGAAGGATGCTTTGCCTACTGCCTTAACTTCATCTTTTTCTACGGGTATGGGTTCTTCTTCTCACTCTTCTTGGCATATTGATTCTGCGGCATATAATCATATGACGAGCTTGCCCAAGGTGTTTAGGCGGCTAGCTCCGTCTAGTACGTGTTTGGATTTACAGGCTGCTGATGCGTCCTGAATGGCTGTAGTGGGAGTTGGTCATGCACGTCAGCCTAATATATCCCTCCCCGATACTCTATTTGTTCCCAAACTCGTTCCTAGTCTTATTTCTGTGGGTCAGTTGGCAGAGGATGGTTGTCGGGTAATATTTGATGCGGATGGATGTACTGTGCAGGACAAGAGGACGGGGAAGGAACTAGGGAGAGGGGTAAGAAAGGTCGTGTCTTTTTGTTGGATTACTACTCTCGGGCACCTAATGGGAAGATTGGAGGAGACTCGAAGTCCTTGCAGGCTGGGAAGATGGACTCGTTATCAGTAGAGAGTCGAGAAGATTATTCAGCAGATAGAAAGTCCCTTAGCAACATTTCTGATTTTTTGGGTTTCTCTGTTAAGTTATCAAACTGGGATTTGTGGCATTTTCGTTTAGGGCATCCTAATTCTGTTAGACTGCGTACTATGTTTAAGAATAAGTGGTTATCTGGTGGGAATGCTATTGATCAGGAGCATGAGTGTGTAATTGCTTGCAAGCCAAATTATCACAGAGTTCATTTAATTCAAGTGAGACTGTTTATTCAGCTCCATTTGATCCTGTGCACACTGATTTATGGGGTCCTTCGCCAGTGACTTCTCGTATGGGCTTTCGGTACTTCGCCCTGTTCGTTGATCATGCTACGCGGTTCCCCTGGGTTTTCTTTCTGCTCCAGAAGTCTGAAATGCTCACGATCGCGCAGGAGTTTCTTCAGATGGTATCGACACCGTTTGGTAAGACTATGAAGATTCTGCGATCGGATCCAGGAGGTGAATTTAATTCACATCCTTTGCAGGCTTTATTACGTGACCGGGGTATTCTCATACAACAATCATGTCCCGGCGTATCCCAACAAAATGGGTTGGTGGAGAGGAAGCACCGTCACGTGCTCGATCTTACTCGGGCTATTCTTTTCCACTCGCAGATTCCTTCTGGGTTTTGGGTGGAGGCAGTTCACACGGTGGTTTATCTAATTAATCGTCAGATCACGTCTGTTTGCAGGAACGTAGTCCTTATCAGACGTTTTACTGGAAACTTCCGAACTATGGATGGCTTCGTGTGTTTGGGTGTGCTTATTATGTTCTTTTGGCTCGCAGGGAACGAAATAAGCTCACTCCAAAAGCTGTCCGATGTGTTTTCCTTGGCTACAGTGACAAGCATAAAGGTTATGTTTGCTATGACGTCCGTAATCAACATATTCTCATCTTAGTACACGTTGTTTTTCTCGAACATATTCCTTACTATGATTCGTTGGATTCTATCTCATCACCACCGCCAAATCTTGATTTTCTTCATGCCTTTGAGTTTCCATCTCATGCAGCACCAGTGATAGATGACGAAGGAAATGATGATGGAGATGGTGGACCACATTCTAGCTTGGAGCTAGACTTTTCTGGCAGCTCCGAGTCATCTTCGAACTCCCTTAGTTCCTCAGCAACAGTCTCTTCCAGCGCTCCAACGGAGGAATCAACAGCTTCCACTACTTCGACGTCCTCGTTCAGCTTGGGTTCATCCAGTTCCGAGGCTTCCATGGAATCTCTCCATGAGGTCGATTAAGTTGCCCCACCCCTACGGTGCTCCTTACGTGTTAACAAAGAAAAACCTCTCCTGAGCCACTTTGACTTTGTGGCCTTCTCCACACCTTCTATTGTGATTCCCGCAACGTACAAACAAGCAAAAGGGATTGATTGTTGGGAGAAAGCCATGACAGTTGAGTCAGATGCACTTGAAGCGGTTCAGACGTGGGAGTTAGTCCCTAGGCCTCCTAATGTTACGGTTATCGGAAGCAAATGGGTATATAATGTGAAGATGCTGTCGGACGGTGAGGTAGAGAGATTCAAAGCACGAGTTGTTGCTCAAGGATTTCGTCAAGAGTATGGCGTGGATTACTCAGAAACGTTTGCTCCGGTGGCGAAAATGCAGATAGTTCGGAGTTTGTTGGCAGTGGCAGCAATGAAGGAATGGCCACTTTTTCAGTTGGACGTGAAGAATACCTTTCTCCACGGCGATCTCAAAGAAGAAATATATATGGAATGACCGCCGGGATATAAGGTCATTGCTCCATGGTTTGTCGGCTGAAGCGATCTCTCTACGACTTGAAACAAGCTCCTCGAGCATGGTTTGAAAAGCTCCAGGGCACTACCATGCATGCTGGTTTTGTGTAGAGTAAGAGTGACCCCTCACTCTTCCTCTGTTATACAGTTCGTGGTCTCACGGTAATCTTAATCTATGTGGATGATATGGTAGTCAGTGGAGATGACAAGGAGGGTATTTAAGAACTCACACAGGTCTTGCGGTCAACTTTTAACCTTAAGGAATTAGGCGATCTTTCCTATTTTCTTGGGTTAGAAATTCATCGGTCTAAAGAGGGCATTCATGTGGGTCAGAGGAAGTATGTTATAGACCTTCTTGAGGAAGCACAGATGGAAGACTGTATACCTTGCTCGACGCCTATAGAACAAAATCTCAAACTTCGCAAGATAGATGGAGAGCTTCTGCAAAATGGGTCAGTCTATCAAGGTATTGTGGGCAGTCTTGTATATCTAACTCATACGCGGCCTGATATTTCATATGCTGTTCAGGTGGTAAGTCAGTTTATGACAGCTCTGAGGACTTCACACTGGACAGCAGTGCAGCAAATCCTGAGGTATCTTCGAGGGACACTAGATGTGGGGTTATTATTCCCAGTGCGAGGAGAGGCAGTGATGGAAGCTTACGCTGACTATGCTGGGTGTCTTGATACACGATGATCTACATCAGGCTGGTGTGTGAAGGTGGGCAACTCATTTATTTCATGGCGCTGCAAGAAACAGGATCGTGTGTCGAAATATTCTACTGAGGCTGAGTATCGCTCTATGAGTGAAGTTGCATCGGAAATTGTGTGGCTCAAGAGACTGCAGGCCGAATCGGGAGTTGCGATTCAGCCACCAATTCGGTTACATGTGGACAACACCAGTGCTATTCAAATTGCTACTAACCCGGTACTTCATGATAGGACAAAGCATATTGAAGTTCATGTGCATTACATTCGACAATTGGTGGTTGAAGGAGAAGTAGAACTAGCATACATAACTTCGGAGAATCAAACTGCAGACCTGTTAACTAGGGCGGTAGCCTCACCACGGCATTGGTTTCTAGCACACAAATTGATGTTACGACAACATCAATTTGAGTGAGGGTGTTAGAAGTTTAAGTACCAATTTGCAATTGTCCAAAGTAGGGTTAATAGCTTGTATATATACGTGTGTTGTATGGCCGCCTAGGTCAAGTATTTTTGGTGATAATAAGAACTCTCTGCCGTAGTGCCGTGGACTAGTCTCAATTAGTACGATATTGTCCGCTTTGGGGCAAGCCCGCACGGTTTTACTCTTGGGTGTCCTCCCCAAAAGGCCTCATACTAATGAGCTTGGTGGACAATTATATGCAAGGATCCCTTCCCTTATATTTCCGATGTGTTACTTGGATTGTACCTAACAAAAACGGATATAGATGTTTATTTATTAACGATAGGAATGCATACTCTTACATAAAATTTATACTAGAGAAAAGCACACTATTGCGATGTAGGTTTGTAGAAAAAGTAATAATAAGCATCATCTATATACATAAATGGCGAGAATGGTGTTTTTGACGAAGTAATGGCATTGTTGTTAATGTTGCAGGTGTCTCTGTTGAGTGATGTGTTTGTATGGGCTTCGGCCCAGTATCCCTAACCATGAATGAATGGTTAATTAGTTATTAGTGGCCTAGAGTTAGCCGAGTAGTCTAGGGTTTGAGATCCTAGATGTATAAATACGTATGTAACTTAACCTGTTGAAGCTAAGCTGAATAAGAGAATAAACTAGCTTCGGCTGTGTACTAGTCTCATCCATACAAAATGAGTAAACCACGTAAATCTGTGTGTTGATTTTTGTTTCTGTTTCGATAATTCCGTTACGATTAACATGGTATCGAAGTCTATGACTTTTGACCAGATTACAGCTCGTCTCCACTCGAAGAATTATGCAGTCTCGGAGTTTTAGTTTTCAACGTTCATCGTAAGGAAGGGACTTCTTGGATTGCTCGATGGCACGGCTGCTCGGCCTTCTTCCCCGCTCGCTACGGCTAGCTAGGTTCAACAATGGGTATTGAATGATGCCAAGGTTCGTACGATCCTCCTCAACTCGGCTGACCAGGTTATTAGTGGCCTAGGGTTAGCCGAGTAGTCTAGGGTTTGAGATCCTAGATGTATAAATACGTATGTAACTTAACTTGTTGAAGCTAAGCTGAATAAGAGAATAAACTAGCTTCGGCTGTGTACTAGTCTTGTCCATACAGAATGAGTAAACCACGTAAATCTGTGTGTTGATTTTTGTTTCTGTTTGGATAATTCCGTTACGATTAACATGGTATCGAAGTCTATGAATTTTGACCAGATTACAGCTCGTCTCCACTCGAAGAATTATGCAGTCTGGGAGTTTTAGTTTCCAACATTCATCGAAAGGAAGGGACTTCTTGGATTGCTCGATGGCACGGCTGCCTAGCCTTCTTCCCCGCCCGCTACGGCTGGCTAGGTTCAACAATGGGTATTGAATGATGTCATGGTTTGTACGATCCTCCTCAACTCGGCTGACCAGATTATCTTGCTGTTGTCCATCGCATTTTACGCTCCCTACAGGGCACTAAGGAGGTTGGGTTGTTTCTTCCCTCATCTGGTTTTTTTGTTCTTCAGGCCTTCTCAGATTCTGATTATACAGGGTGTGTAGACACTCGTTGTTCAACCACTGGATGGTGTATTCGCCTTGGTGAGTCATTTGTTTTATGGCGATGTAAGAAGCATGACAATGTGTCTAGATCTTCTAATGAGGCGGAATATCGAGTTATGTCTGACTTTGCTTTTGAGATGGTTTGGCTTCGAGGTCTATTTGGTGACTTGGGAGTGGATTGTGAGATTCCTCTCCAGCTTTATGTTGATAATACAAGTGCCATTCAGATTGCCACAAATGCGGTGCTTCATGATCGTAAGAAACAAATAGATTTCCATCTTCATTACATACGAGACTTGGTTCATGACGGTATCCTTCGCCTGTTTCACATCACGTCAGAGGAACATATTGAGGATTTGTTAACCAAGTAATTTTAGGCTAGTCGCCACTTTATGTTTCTTGCAAATTGCTGATGAGTAATGTGTTTGTATGGGATACTGAATTAATTTAGAGATTGAGATTATTTTTAGGGTGTAATTCGGTATTTGGGACTTCGATATTTAGTACCGGGATATCGATATCGTACCAATTTCCACCCTACTTACAGTGGAGAACCTTCATAAGGAGCAGAAATCTTATCAATGAGGATGTCGTACTTGTCCACGCCATCAATAACAAGAGTCGTCTATATCTTCCAATTTGTGAAGTTCGACTCTCTGTGAGAGATTGAAAGATGGGTGATCAATCAAAAGTTCTCATGCCATTTTAGTCTGTAGATGATTATTGCCATTGTAGTCTATTGGGCCAGGTTGATGATCCGTTCTCATTGGCCCACACTACTAAGGCTTGCATGGTCATGCAACCTTCTACGTATCCTGGTGGAGTTAGGAATACTACTGTTACCCTAGCTGATTTGATGAAGGATATAAATAGACATGTAAGGCCTGTTGGCCGTGTAACGTAATAAAAGAAGAACCCTATTTCTGTGGACGTAGATCTCACATACTGTGAGATTGAACCACGTTAAACAAAGTGTCCTTTTTCTTCCGCGCTTTATGATATTTCTCATGGTATCAGAGCAATCGGTCTAAAAATCGTTGTCGTTGTCAACCATGGCTTTGGAGGGCGAGGATCAGAAGTCGGACTCGTCTACCAGCCACGGTAAGGAGCACTCCAATATCAGTATGGATGCTTCGTCTGTCTATTACCTTCACCCTTCCGATAGCAACAGTCAATTGCAAGTCGGAGATCTTCTCACACCAACAAACTACGGTGAGTGGGTGGTCGATGTCACGGATGCCCTAATTGTCAAGAACAAAATCGGATTTGTTGACGGTACTATACCTAAGCCTGCTGCGGATTCTGAACAGCGTGCTTGGACGCGTTGCGATGCCCACGTTAAGGGATGGTTACGCATGTCTATGTCTAAAGAAGTGAGGAGCAGTGTTCGCTATGCAAAATCAGCTCGTGAAATCTGGGTAGATCTGAAGGAGCGTTTCGGACAAGGTAGTCTCACTCGTGGTTATGAATTGCGTCGTATGATATCAGCTTTGTGGCAAGAAAAATTGTCTGTGTCTGCTTTCTACACACAGCTGAGAGCTTTATGGGAAGAGGCTCAATCTCTTTCCCCTACAGAACTTTGTACATGTGGCTCCTGTACTTGTGGTCTTGAACGCAGGATCCAAGACAAAGAAGAAACAGCAAGGCTCTATGATTTCCTTATGGGCCTTGATGAGAGTTTTGGCACCGTTCGTAGCCAAGTACTCTCCATGAAGCCTACGCCAAAGCTTGCGGAGGCATTCAATCTTGTCCTCAACGACGAACAACAACGACTACTAACACAAAAGCGTCGCCCGAATTCAGAAGCTGCAGCCTTTGCTTCGCAAAGTGAAGGGACTGATCGCGGTGGGCCACGCAATAGTGAAGGAAAGCCGATATGCACACACTGTGGCAAAATCGGACATTTTCGAGCCACTTGTTATGATTTGGTAGGCTGGCCAAATCGTGGTGAGTCTAATTCTGGTGACAAGCCTCCTGCGGGCAAGGGAAATTCTGAGAAGAAACGACGCCCACCTCCCGGAAAGGGACAGCCGAAGGCTGCGCAAGCTGAGGCCGAATCATCCTCAGTCGCTGGCTTCACTGTACAGCAGTTGGAGCAACTTCGTCAGTTCTTCAATCAACCCAAAGCTGTCGATGATCCTATTGCGCATATGGCAGGTAACGTTTTTAACTCATCTGAGTGGTTGATTGACTCCGGATGTAATGAACACATAACCCGGGATGCATCAATTTTTAGTAAAGAGGTTATGTGCTCGAATAGTCAGCCAGTTAAAATCCCAAATGGGGATAGTGTACCAGTTGAAAAGGTCGGGTCTGTGAAGCTGTCTACGGGATTACACCTTGATCGAGTTCTTCATGTACCGGAATTTCAGTGCAACCTACTGTCTGTTAGTCGTCTCACTAAAGATAATGATGTCGCGTTGATTTTTCTCCGTGATTTGTGTATACTCCAGGACTTACACTCCAGGAGCGTGATTGGGAAGGGGATTCTTCGTGATGGGCTGTATTATTTGAAATTGTTTGGAAGCCAGGAACGACTTGTGTTTGCTGCCGACGGGAAGGGAACGTTGTCAGAAGACGTTTGGCACGCCCGCCTGGGGCACCCATCGCCTGCAAAGTTGTCTCAACTTAGTCAGTTTATCTCAATGTCTTTTAATACGAAGAAGAACCCTTGTCACTCGTGTTTTCGTGCTAAGCAGAGTCGAACACCTTTTCCTGCTAGTTCTATCAAAACTTCGGATTGTTTTGAGTTAATCCATGTTGACATTTGGGGAGGATATAAAGTTGCTTCTCTTGATGGTTCACACTATTTCTTAACTATCGTAGATGATTTCAGTCGTGGTGTGTGGGTATATTTGCTGAAGTTTAAGTCCGAAGTTGCACGATGTTTGAAGCTGTTTTGTGAACTCGTAGACACACAATTTCGCAAAAAGGTGAGACGAATTCAAGCCGATAATGGGTTGGAATTCAATACGTCAGCGTTGCGGGATTTTTATGAGCAGTCCGGCATAATCCTGCAGACTAGTTGCACCGACACACCACAACAAAATGGTGTAGTCGAGCGCAAACATCGACATATACTGGAAACGGCTCGTGCATTAAGGTTTCAGGCAGGCTTACCATTGCAGTTCTGGGGAGAGTGCATACTAACGGCTGTCTATCTAATTAACCGGTTGCCCACTGTTGCGACGGGTAAGACGCCATATGAAATGTTATTTAGTAGGCCAGCATCATATGCTCATCTACGGGTTTTTGGTTGTCTCGTTTATGCGAAAGATAATCGTGGCGGCCTTCACAAGTTTGCGGAACGGGGGCGTGCTAGTGTTTTTCTTGGATATGCTGCAACCAAGAAAGGATATGTTCTATATGATTTGGCTACGCAGAAACTGTTCGTTAGCCGTGATGTTGTTTTTCACGAAACCCACTTCCCGTTTCACAGTCCGAATCCAAGTGAATATCACTGGATTCCTAGTGCGGTCTTCGATGATAGTCTGATGTCGCATCCTACCATGGCTGGGGAGGAAAGTGACGAGACAGCTCCTGTGGTTGATCCTCCGTCATCCGCGTCACAGCCCTGTTCGTCCAAACCAAATGGTTCGTCGTCTCCCATGCTTGCGCCTGCTGAGCCACCATGCTCGCCTCCTTTACACTCTTCGGGTTGCGAGGAGAAGTCCCCCAAGTCCATTTCTCACTCGGGTCCTTCAAATTCCAAGGAGAAGTCGCCGCAGTCCATTTCTCCAGTCACTCAACCTCAAGTTGAGGAGGTTCTTGGACGTGGCCGTCGTCAACGTCATCGTCCCAAATATCTAGATGTGTATGCCACTGATGAGGAGTATGAACAATTAGCTTCCAACGTCAGGTACCCACTCTCTAATTATGTTTCTTATGGTAATGCTACACCTTCTTTTCGTGCCTTCCTTGCAGCAGTTACAAACAATGAAGAACCCAAGACTTGGCAAAAGGCCATTCTTGATGCACGCTGGCGTGCGGCAATGCGAAAAGAGGTGGCAGCCTTGGAAGCTACACATACATGGGTACTGGTGCCTCTGCCACCTGGTCGTCGTCTGATCGATTGTCGATGGGTTTTCAAAATTAAATACCTTCCTGATGGTACGATTGAGCGATTCATAGCTCGTCTGGTCGCCAAAGGATACACGCAAGTTGAAGGGGTAGACTACCATGATACATTTGCTCCCGTCGCTAAACTTGTCACTGTCCGTTGTCTCATAGCCGTTGCGGTTCAGCGGGGGTGGCATCTTCAGCAGTTAGATGTCGACAACGCGTTTCTTCATGGTGATCTTGAAGAAGAAGTTTATATGCGGGTGCCACCAGGTTTTCAGCAGCCAAGGGATTCTCGCGTCTGTCGCTTGCAGAAATCCATATACGGGCTTAAGCAAGCATCTCGTAACTGGTACCACAAGTTCACTACTGCTTTGTGTGAAGTTGGGTTCCGTCCTTCTCCAGCTGATCATTCACTCTTTGTTTATCGCCATGGAGACTCTTATGTCGCTGCGTTGATCTACGTTGATGATGTCCTTTTAGCTGGTAATGACCTGGATTTTATTAATCGGGTCAAGGTCTTCCTTGACAAGCGTTTTAGCATCAAGGATTTGGGGTCTCTTCGGTATTTTCTGGGACTTGAAGTTGCGCGCTCACCCAGTGGCGTGATTCTTAGTCAAAGAAAGTACACACTTGATATCTTGGAAGAAGCAGGTGTACAAGGAGCTCGACCCAGTTCTTTTCCCGTGGAACAGAATCATCAGCTTACTCGTCCTTCAGTGTCTGCGCCATTGGTGGATGGCTCTTCTTATCGTCGTCTTGTTGGTCGTCTTCAGTATTTGACAGTTACTCGTCCTGACATCACCTACGGCGTGAACATTTTAAGTCAGTTTGTTAATGCTCCTACGCAAGCACATTTTGATGCAGCTATGCGTATACTGCGGTACTTAAAATCGTCACCAGGACAAGGTTTGTTTCTTCCAGCTCAAGGTTCGCTCGATCTCGTGGCTTACTGTGATGCTGATTGGGGTGGATGTCAAACCACTCGTCGTTCCACTACAGGTTTTTATATTAGCCTGGGTTCTGCTCCGGTTTCCTGGCGAACGAAGAAACAGAAGGTTGTAGCTCGTTCGTCTGCAGAGGCTGAGTATCGTGCCATGGCTAGTACTGTTAGTGAAGTCATTTGGCTCCGGTGGTTGCTCAGTGAGCTAGGAGTCACTCAATCAGGTCCGACGCCTCTTTACTGTGATAATCAAGCTGCTCTTCACATTGCAGCTAATCCTGTTTTCCACGAGCGCACCAAGCACGTGGAGATGGATTGTCATTTTGTGCGTGAGCGTGTTGTTTCTGGTGATATTGCGCCACGCAAAATCAGTTCTGAGTTCCAGTTGGCCGATCTCTTTACTAAGGGGTTGGGTACAGATCGTTTTCGTGCTCTTTTGTCCAAGCTGAACGTTCGAGACCTTCACCGTCCAGCTTGCGGGGGCGTATTGGGCCAGGTTGATGATCCGTTCTCATTGGCCCACACTACTAAGGCTTGCATGGTCATGCAACCTTCTACGTATCCTGGTGGAGTTAGGAATACTACTGTTACCCTAGCTGATTTGATGAAGGATATAAACAGACATGTAAGGCCTGTTGGCCGTGTAACGTAATAAAAGAAGAACCCTATTTCTGTGGACGTAGATCTCACATACTGTGAGATTGAACCACGTTAAACAAAGTGTCCTTTTACTTCCGCGCTTTATGATATTTCTCATAGTCTGTATGTGAGGATTGAGGATTCCCAAAGATGGAGTAGTACACTATTGAAGTTGCGAATATCTTTGATAGGTTAATTAGTTACGTGATTTGATAGGTTAGTTAACATATGAGGTTAGGCTACTAATTTTCCCTCCATATTAATTATCGGTGGTTAAACTTTCTCTCAGTTGTTTGAAGTTACTTAATTATCAGTGGTTGAACCGATTCACTCCATATTAATTAGTTTATAAACTGCTATAAACCGAATGAAATCAGACTGATCTATTTTTATAATCCCTCCTCCCCAAATGCTCCCAATGACAAACCTTTTCGAGCAGTAAGGACGAACCCGGACGTATAGTTTGGTTTGGCTATATGAAGTAATTAGTGTGCTACACAATTCTTCCACCCAAGGAGATCGATTATCTATACGTATCCGTTATTGAATTAATGGTTTGACGTAAACTTCAGAAATTGAGTTGTACGTCTTTAATTAAGAAGGCCATGCATATATAAATGTAACGTGCATTGGGAGTGCAAATTACAAACACACAAGTGATCAAGAGAAAATAAACCCTTTGCATCTCTCTGCTGCATCGTTACTAAACTAAATTCCTAATCTTCCTTTCCAAACACCAAATTAGAATATCATCGTTACTCAGTTCCATTTATTGTTCGTTGCGGATCTTGAAGCTTTATAGCCAGGAATTAAGGAGAAGATGGCCAACAGAGTCGACGATGATGGCCGCCCGATGCGAACTGGTAATTAACTCACCTATATAGCTACACTACTGCAACAAAACTGGAATCTAGTGTCGACACAAAATTAGTTGGTGGCGGCCGGTAAATTTTAATGTCGGGTGGAAACCGCCAGTAAAAAAAAAAGTAACTGTAGGAAAATTCAACGAACATAATTAGCTAGTTTCTGAGCCATCGACTCTCACTTGGCTAAAGTTACTTAATTAATCATTGCTAGCTTATTATAATTGCTTTGGGCGGAAAAGTTTCCCAATTCGTTGGTGAAACATTGTACCGATCTGGGGTCAGATCATCGCGCTCTTTTAGTGGCGGATAAGCCATTTACCCGGGTAAAGAAACCTTTGTTCCGATTTGACTCGAGATGGGTGGAGAACCCTGAAACGAGGCTTTTGGTCAGTTACGTTTGGAATCAAACGTATACTGGGACTCCGATGTTTCGCCTCTGGCAGCGCCTGAAAGCCCTTAGGCATTTACTTTTTGATTGGAGCCGGGCGGGAACGAGTAATTCTGCTCGCAACATTCGAATTCTTCAAACAGAAATCGAAGCGTTGAAAGAAGGAGTAGGCACGGACTGGGACCGAATTGGTAGTCTCGAGAAGGAATTGTCCAAACAATGGGCTACGGAGGAGGAATTCTGGAGGCAGAAGTCGCGCGTTAAGTGGCTGGACAAGGGTGATAAAAACTCTGGTTATTTTCATACAGTTACTCGAGCGCGGCGACGGAGTAATTATATTGAGGGCCTGCGGGATGGGAATGGGGACTGGGTGACTGAGGAAGACCTGAAGGGTAGAGTGGCAGGGGATTTTTATGCTGAGCTATTTACGACGGAACGACAATTGCCAGATGTGGCTGGTCGGGTAGCGGGGCTCCCTATCCCTGAGCTTGTTTCTGAGGAAATGAATAGACTCCTTACAGCGGATGTTTCTGCGAAGGAAATTAGAGGAGCTGTTTTCTCCATTGGTGCTACCCAGGCCCCGGGTTCGGATGGGTTTACTGGAAAATTCTATCGGGCTTATTGGGATATCATTGGTGGAGAAGTGGTGGAGGCGGTGCAGTCTTTCTTTCGTTCGGGACGGCTGTTGAAAAGCTTTAACCACACCTGGTTGACTTTAGTTCCGAAGGTGGATGCAGTGGAATCCATGCGACAGATTAGGCCAATTAGCCTGTGTCAGTTATTTTACAAGATCATTTCTAAAATCATGGCGGAACGGTTGGCCAGTATTCTGCCTTCCATTATCTCACCGGAGCAGAATGGGTTTATACGGGGCCGCCAGATTGTGGACAATGTCTTAATTGGACATGAGGTTATGCACTATCTTAAGATTAAGAAACGTGGAAAGAAATCTTTTCTGGCTCTGAAGGTTGACATGGAAAAAGCCTATGATAGAGTAGAGTGGGATTTTCTATTTGCGGTTATGTCTAAGATGGGATTTAGTCGGCAATGGGTTGGCTGGGTACAGGAATGTGTTTCTACGGCGACATTCTCTGTGATGATGAATGGTTCTCCAACTGGGTATTTTGGATCAACGAGGGGATTACGGCAAGGGGATCCTTTATCTCCTTTGCTGTTTGCGATATGCTCGGAGGGTTTTGCTGCCCTTCTTAGGCAGGCTATTGAGGAGAAGCGACTGGCAGGGGTTAAAGTCCATCCCAGGAGCCCTAGCATATCCCACTTATTCTTTGCGGATGACTCATACCTGTTCTTGAGGGCTTCTGGTACGGAATGTGCAACTCTAGTGCAGCTATTGCGGACGTATCAGGAATTGAGTGGGCAGAAAGTTAATCTGCACAAATCAGCGGTGTGTTTTAGTGGGAATGTAGACCCTCCAGATGCCGAGGCAATGGCGGCCATGCTTGGCGTTGGAGCAGTAGGAGTCCAGGATAAATATCTGGGGCTTCCTTCCTTGGTGCAGAAGTCCAAGGTCGAGACCTTTCGATATTTGGAAGAGCGACTGCTTGCTAAGTTGCAGGGATGGAAGCAGAAGCAGTTGTCATGGGCAGCGAAAGAGGTGCTGCTTAAATCGGTGGCTGCGGCGCTGCCGATCTATGTGATGTCATGTTTTCTACTTCCGGTGACGTTATGTCGCAAGCTTGATAAATATATGGCTCGATTTTGGTGGGGGTTTACAATGGACAAGGACAAAGCTCATTGGGTTTCATGGAGGAATCTCTGTCGCAGTAAGTTTGAGGGTGGACTGGGTTTTAGAAGGTTTGAGAACTTTAATCAAGCGTTGCTGGCAAAGATTGCTTGGCGGCTGTGGAAGGAGCCGGAGTCTTTGTTAGCACGCATGCTTAAGGGTAAGTATTTTGCGAAATCCACCATATTTCAAGCTCGTCGGGGTTCTCGCCCTTCTTGGGGGTGGACTAGTGTGCTTCATGGGCGGGATTTATTGGCTCAAGGATTAGCCTGGCAAATTGGGGATGGTTCTTCGGTCCGGATACTGGAGGATAGCTGGGTACCTGGGTATCGGGCGGGTGAAGTCCCTGTTCGATCCACTGCTCCAGACCTGACAAATGTTCGAGTTGAGACACTCAAACTCCCGGGTAAGGGACGGTGGTGTGAGGAGTGCCTCCGGCAGTGCTTCCCGGATGACATTGTGCAACGTATTGCTGCTATTCCCTTGCCGATTCGGCAGGTGGAGGACTGTTGTGTTTGGGAGTGGGAGGTTGATGGGAAGTACACAGTGAAGTCGGGATACCATCTGGCTTTTCAACTTAGTCGGAGATTGCCGGGGTGGAAGGATGAGGTGTCGTTTTTTGATGGGGGATTTTGGAAGAAGGTGTGGAGCTTTCCTATACCGCCGAAATTGAAATTCTTTGTGTGGCAACTTATGAGGCGTGTTTTACCCACGATGGAGGCGATAGTTGAGAAAAGGGGGCAGAATTCGATATCCCAGGAGGATCTCATGGAGGATGAGTCGACGGTTTCCCCGAAATGTCCAGTGTGTTGGGCCCCTTTGGAGACGTTGGAGCATATGATGTTGTATTGTAGGGTAGCGGTTGACCTGTGGGCTGGCTCGGGCATTGTTCTGAGTGGATTGGTGACGTCGGACATCAATTTCGCTTTGTTTTTTCGCCGGTTAGTGGAACAGGGTGCAGGTACAGAGCGAATAGTGCGGGTTGTGGCGTTGCTATGGAGGATTTGGAAAAGCCGAAACTGGGTGACGTTTGAGGGGGTGCAGTATACAGCTAGGGAGTTGCTTCGGCAGTATGAGAGCCAGGTAAGGGAGTGGTTGAGTTTTGTGCAGCCCGCTCCGATTCTTGGACAGCGACCTCGGGGAGAGGGGAGGGGGGCCGCTAGGGTGCAGGAACAGCATTCCTTTATGTATACTTGTAAGGTGGATGGTGCAGTGGCGGTAGGATCGCATGGAGCTGGTGGGTTGGTGGTTCAGGATGCGCGTGGTCGGGTTTGTTTTGTCAAAGGATTCTTTTATGCAGGTTTGGTGGATCCATTCATTGTGGAATTGGTGGCTTTGCGGGATGCGATTCAGTGGTGCTCTTTGAAGGGACTCACTGAGGTCATGTTTTGTGGGGATGCCAAGGTCGTCATAGAGAAGATTCAGAGGAGGGAACACCATGACAGGAAGGGTGGCAGGATTTTGGTGGAAATTGCGAGTTTACAAAGGCAGTTCAGTCGTTTTGATATTTCTTTCATTGGCAGGAGTGACAACCGGGTGGCTCATGAGGTGGCCAGGAAGACCCTTTCTTTGTTGCCTGTGGATGTAGAGAATTTTGATTTTGAGGGTTGGTTTTGCTATTTTTGTGTGTAAACAGTGCTATCTTTTGGTGATTGATAATATAATCTGTCTATTGATAAAAAAAAAAAGCTTATTATAATTGCTTAATTAATTACTGTCCGTACTGATGAACATTATATATTCATTTGTGTATGCAATGCAGGGACTTGGGTTTAGTTGGCATCTCAACTACCACAATTTTCTACTTGCTCTGCGGCTGTGTGGGCTACGCTACGCGGCTTTTGGAGAAGACGCGCCGGGCTATTTACTCTCAGGGACCGGGTTCAATCATCCTGTGTGGCTACTCAACGTAGCCAACGTCTGCGTGGCTATCCACCTCATCGGTGCATACCAAGTCAGTTCAGCTCAGTTTAATTAATTAAATTAAAATTAATTTCTTTTGTGATATTAATTTGTATATGTGTGTGTGGCTGCAGGTGTTTGCGCAGCCGATTTTCAGCTTTGTGGAGACGAGCTGTCGTCAGAGGTGGCCAGAGGTCAAGTTCGTGACCATGTACCACCAGATTACCATTCCGTTCCTGCAGGGTGGCATGAGCTTCCACGTCAACTGGTTCAGAGTGGTTTGGAGGTCTGCTTACGTGGCAGTGACGACCGTCTTGGTCATGGTCCTCCCGTTCTTCAACGTTTTTTTGGACCTTATCGGGGCAGTCTCTTTTTGGCCTTTGATCATCTACTATCCGATCGAGATGTACATCGCCCGAGCGCAAATTCCAATGTTCCCCGTCTCCTGGATACGCCTGCAGGCCTTGACATTCGTCTGTTTGCTGATTTCACTCGGCGCAGCAGCGGGATCAGTGGAAGGTCTGATCCAGTCTCTCAAAATGTACCCTTTTAAGAATGAAGCATAATTGATTAACAAGTGCTGCGTTAAGTACGAGCGGTAGTAGTACGTAGCTATTTATATATAGTCAAACAAAATGATGTTGGTTTGAATATTGAGCACTTGCACAAGAGCTAATCAACTTGTATAGAAGAGGTATGAAATATATATACGGAAAAGCTATGATGTTAATAATTTGCCTAACTAGCTGTGCTTGGAAAAGTGAAGCTTACACGGGAAATAAATATCTTGCAAAACGAAATTAGGAAATGTTCAAATGTTCAAATGTGCACATTTCATTAAACTTTACGGGTTGAACCAATCGAAGCCGACCCATTTCCTACTCGAACCCATGTAGGGTTTCAAGTGTTTAATGATTAGGTTTGGGTCATCTATTACTTTTCCCGTGAGCCAGTGACCAATGGATTTGGGTGGCTATGAGTGGTCAAAACCGACCCACCCAATCCATGTATGACCGTAATCCTGCCTACTTGCAAGTCCAGCCAATTCCTCACCGGACGGTCCTATTATTGTGATATCGAACATGCCACAAGTAAGCGGCCCAATCGCTGCAATCTTGTATACACGAGAACCAAACCAAGAAGTGTAAAAGATGGGCAAAATACACTTGTATAGTTACAACTTTTACGTTTGTGATCATAATAGCCAATTGTTTAGAAATAAAAAAATAGTCAAATTTTTGAATGGTTGTATGACAAATCTAGCCATTTTCGTTATAAACTTTTTCGATGTTAAAGACAATGTCAATAACATTAACGAGACGCTGATCTGCCTACCTCATCAACTCCCACGTCAGCTCCAACTCGCCACTTTATGCCACATGTCCGCCACATCATTTTTTTATGGTTAATAAAAAATTGCATTAAGGTCAAACTACTCAAAGGAAAGAAACCCTTTGAGCGCCTCGGAACAATACAAACTGTCCATCGGATCAGAAAAGCATATACATATAATTACTAACAACTACCCAATCCGACCGCGAAGAGACTCTCCTCCAACAACTTATCAGCTTCAGCCTTCTAGTTCAAAATCCTGCAGAGTCCAACGCTCACTAACTAAGGGGACCTCACAGCATGCTCCCCATACATTCTCGAGCATCTTTCCAGCCGAATAAGACTGATAGCAAAACTCCAAGTTGCTCTGCCAAAGACCACTTTTGAAGACTTTCCTTTCCAAAAAAAGGAACACCATTTAACAACTTCTTCCCACGACTTAAGACCTATAACTTAGGCAAACATAGGATAGGTGGAAACAAGTCTCCACTCCCCCGGGCACAAAACATAGAATCGCGATGCTGATTTTACCAAGCAAGAAGCTTGTCATGGGTTGTCAATCTTTCCATCACAGCTAGCCAAAGAATAAATAAAGAGACATTGGTTCCCCATCCCAAAGCATAGAGGCTCCTTGTGCAGTTATATGAAGCTGAATCACACTGCGACACTTTAACAGACACCTCCAAATAACGTTTGTTTGAGTCGATATCTTGTAACTCACACAACCCCGAGATAGCCAATGGAAAATAGGACATTCCATGCATGTATAATAACACACACCTTATTCCAGACAACAAAATTATGAATGCGCAGTACTTCCTCCTTCTTAGGACGAGCTTTAAGATTCAAAGAAACAAGAGCCCTAGTCCTCAAACTAGTATCTGAGTGGGAAATTATTGCAAATCCTCTCAATCTCATTAATAACATTCTTCGAAAGGAAGACAATATTCATCAAGTGTCTTATCCAGTATTACTAGGACTTAAGACCTACAAGTGAGACTTCATCAAGACCATTATATTAGGAATGAAGTACGAGGTTGTTGAGGTCGGACGTGAGATGATAATTGGAACCAGAATCTAGGAGCCACTCTTGAGAGGTCATGGTGGTTTCAAGGTGAGCTAAGGGCTGGTGACAAGATGGGTGAGCTAGGGTGGGACATTGTTGGGCTACGTGACCAAAATCGTGGCATGTGTAACGCTACATTGGATTGGAACCTGCAAAAGAAAGAGAGATTAGAAATGGGCCTTGGCCCAAGAAGGGCATGTTGGGAAGTGGTGCAAGATACTGCTTGTGGGAAACGGAGGCTCGGTTGGTGAGAAGAATATAGTCGGTCATCTCTTTATCGCCGGTCGCGTCCACCGCCACGAGAAGATGACCGCCCACGTTCGCCACTGCCACGATAACTAGAGCGACTCTAGTTAGATGACGGATAGAAGTCATCGGCGAGGAGGTTGTGTTGATGGAGACGAGATTCTTCGTTAAGGAGGAGACCATAGAACTCATTGACGGAAAGCGCAGTTCGCAACCCCATAAGCAGTAGCTAGACGGGGTTGGGAAGGACGACGTGAAGATGGCAAGACGGGACTGGAGACAAGCCATTTATGAATTGAGCTAGATCAAATCTATAGAGAAGATGCAGTAGTTGAAGCTTCCACAAGAGATGGTGGGAGTGAGTTTGATAGAAATTTGGGGTGTGGAGGGAAGAGAAACAAAGAGAGTACGAGAACGGGGAAGAGATCCAAAGGTGGTTGGAAGGAGGTTTCAGTCGCCATGGGAGAACGAAGAGCGCAGGGAGATAGAGGAAGAAAAGAAAATGGGAGATTGACAGCCGAGATGAAAAGAGGGGGGATTGATTTTAGTTTAGGCTTTGGGATCTGATACCATGAAATCTCAGATAATACACTGAGTTTCTATTATTATTGATCACTATTATATACAAGTGAGTTAACATATGTGTCTAACAATCTAGAGTGATTATAGGGGAAGTGGTGCAACAAATGTGGAATAGAAAAGAGTAGTAGCGGAGAAATAGAACAGCTCGTATGACCCGGTCTCTTTCTTATCACGTCTGTCTCTGGGCATGGAGGGTGTTTTAATTTCAGTGAGAGAGAGGGGAAGGGTAGGTGGATGTGGTGGTGGTGGGTGGAGGAAGAGAGGGCGTTTACGGCGGCGACAGGAGAGCCGTGAGTTTGGGTAAGTTTTGGATAGGTTAATTAGTGGATTTAATTTTCCAGTAGAAATTTAAACATTTTTAATTTGATCATTATTATTTAATGAGTTTTATTTTATTCATTTTTCCAAAATAAAAATTAATTGGTAAAATTATCTAATATCTATGTGGCAGATAGTCAAACATTTGACTTTTTGCCACATCATCAAAAATTCATCCATCTCATTTAATATTTTGCCGCATCAGCCTCAACTAATGGTTGACCGGATTGAAAGCCAACACTTTGGCTAATAAATTATTTTCGCTAAGATTTGGCTATTGTTTTGTTTATAAGGAAAGATTTGGTTAATAAATTGTATTTACCCATATATATACAGAGCAATAGAGTAACTTCCTCTATTGTGGGTTTCCAACAATCATACAACCTTCTTTTCCATTCTCATAACCCTAGCTCTCAGAGCTTCTCTATATTGTATCAAAGTTGGAACAAATTCAATGACCTCGATAATAATAGCTCTACTACCTCGATCTACTAATGGAATTCCCTTGAGTTCTGGTGCCACACACTTTTGTACTCATGAAGTGCAATCAAGCACAATCAACAACAACAACAAAAATATCAACAAATGGGCTTCAAGATCTATTGTTTGGTAACCCCAATTATATTAATGCGAACGAAAATATCATGCAGTAAATTATGTATAAAAATATAGATGGTGTGAATTACCAGATGTAGCAGTGAGCAATTAAAATGGCTTTGAAAACTAGACATAAGATTGCGTTCATCGATGGTTCCCATCCCTATTGCAGATCTAAGTGACCCTAAGTATGGTTCGCGGGATGCTTGTAGCACTTTTGTTTTGTGTTGGATTCTGATCTCCATTAAGCAAGAGATAAGGAGAACAGTGATGCAACATGAGAATGCCACAACTCTTTGGGGAGAGTTGAAGAAAAGGTTTGTGATACATTAATTGGCATCGGTGAATGGGTGGAGGAGCAGCTGGAACTCCTAGAGATGGCACGAGCTTTTTACCAACAACTATACACAGATGATGGGGCCCCAATCTAGAGCATACCGAGGTCTTTTGATTTATTACCTGAGGCGATGTAGCTTCCTCTCGGCAATCAGTTTACGGAGGAAGAGATCTCGGCAGAAGTCAAATCCATGGGTGCTCTCGAGGCCCCTGGGAAGAACGGGCCCAATCCGTTATTCTTTCACCGGCATTGGTAGTATGTCGGAAAGGCAGTGGTCGAGTTTGTGCAAGCTTGCTAGGTTGAGCCAGCTCGGGTGAAGGAGATCAACGAGACAATCGTGGTCCTGATTCCTAAGTTGGAGAAGCCGGTCACGATTGATCAAATCCGACCCATTAGCCTCTGTAATGTGACTTACAAGAAGATTACAAAATGTCTGGCAGAGAGGATTAAGGCCATCAGCCCATCATGAATCGATTGGTACATGAGACGCATACGAGCTTTGTCCTGGGTCGACATATCAAATCCACTCGCTGCGAGCTAAAAGGGGGCTGGAAGGTCGGATGGTCCCGAAAATTGATTTGGCCAAAGCCTATGATCGTATCAAGTGGAGCTTTGTGTATGATACTTTAGAAGCTGCGGGGGAACCTAGGAGCTTCATTGACTTAACCATGAGCTGTATCACTACAGCCAGAATGTAAATACAGTGGAACGATGACCTCACTAATACTTTTGAGCCGTCGAGAGGACTGCTCCAATGCTGCCCCCTATCCAGGTATATTTTCACATTTTGCATGGAAAGATTGGGTCACTTAATCAATGCAGCGGTGGAAGGAGGTGCTTGGAAACCGATCAAGCTGTCTAGGGAGGGGCCAGCCCTATCACACCTGTTCTTTGCTGATGATTTGATTTTGTTTGGTGTTGCTTTGCTAACCCAGGTACAAGCGATATACCAGTGTTTTGACAATTTCGCGGTTGCGCCAGGCCAGCAAGTGAGTTGACCAAAGTCGAGAGTGTTCTTCTCGGAAAACGTGTCGGCTACCGTTAGCACCAGTCTCAGCGACGCTCTTGTTATACCGAAGACTCTGAACTTGGGTCGCTATCTAGGGGTCCCTATCATACATGATCGGGTATCTAAAAATACCATTACCGAATTAATTGACCGCATTGATTCGAGACTTGCTGGATGACACGCTAAAACACAACACCAAACTGCGACCAAGTGTAATCGCAGTCCGGGAATGCAGTAAAGTGGCAAGTTCTAATAATCAACCCGGGGTCTAGATCTACGGCCTACTCCATGAATATCTATTATCTATCCAACTAAGTCGATTGATTGTGGTTTTAACTAAAAGCAGTAAGAAAGCAGTAAATGGTTCGGTTTTCTAAAGCAAAGGAAGAGTCACTCGGGAATGAGTCCCCCTAGCTCCTTAGTTAGGTCTCACTTGTAATTACCCTGGATTTATTTACTTTGATTAAACTGCGGAAGATCCGACAGTAGCTTGGAATCTCTTAAGCTGACCAAGCCCTCTCAGTCCAACTATCCGGCAGACGACTAATCTTCACCTGGATAGAAAGCTGAAGCAATAAGCACAGAACTCTTCTACTGGAATTGGGTTCCAGTACAAAGCAGTAGATTGATTAACTCTCGTATAACCAATCTACCACTATCGAATGGTGAAGCTCTAACAACCTAATCAGATTCTATCTATCTCAGGTTGCAGCAGAAATCAAGAAAAGATGATCAGACTTTAATTCAATGAATCATGCATCATTCGATTAAAACCAAACAGTATAACAATCCCAAGTCATTACAATCAAGATCCCTAACACAAAGAACTAGGGTTCATACCCAAGTGAGAGAGGGTTCTACTCCGTAGAGAGAGAGAGAGAGGAAAACAGTAAACAAAGTAGTCATACTCATCAAGATGGGAAGAATCTGCTCTGGGATGTCAATCTTCACTCCAAGGATGATTTCCAAGATTGATTGATGAAACCCAGCTCCAAAACCACTCTTAGGTGGTGTTATTCGCACTTTCTCTCTCTAGGGCTCTGTTTTAGCTCTAAAAATCGGTTCTCTTCTCCATTGGCTCGAATTTGGGTTAAAATCTAGAAATTCTCGACCACACAGGCAGGCCACACGGCCATGTGTCTTTCCTAGAGGCCCGTGTGAGTTGTGCAAAACGCGGCGTTTCGATAAGTGGACTTCAGCCATCCTACATGGCCACAACCACACGGCCGTGTGGATTTCCAGGATGCCTGTGTGAGTTCCCTGGAATTTCCACACGGCCACATGGGTTCCCTTACACGACCGTGTGGGTTTTAGGCATGTCCGTGTGATTTCCTCAGCTTCTCGCCAAACGTCCGATCTCTGTCCAATCGACCCCGAACTCGTTCCTAAACCTTCATTCACGTACTAGGACCTGAAATACCACAAACAAGAACAACCTAGCGTGAAATCGGCCTAAAACACGAGAATCAACATCTCAAACGGCTCAAAAATAGGGGTAAAAACAAGTGCAATTAACGGTCTATCAAACTCCACCACACTTAACCGTTTGCTTGTCCCCAAGCAAACCTGACTCAAACCAATGCAACTCTCCAGGCCTCTATAGCAACAAACAACCCCGATCGTTGGTAGAGGATTTTCTATATCATAAAGCAGCTTACGAGGTCAACTGGTTTTCTAAGACGTCCCATATCTCTCTCAATGCGAGTACTAGAATCAAGCCAGGATCATGAGAAGAAGTAGAAGTAAGACAGTCAGTTCATGGATAAAGGGACTCACACCATTCACAACCAAGGACTCGTTGTACCGGGGTGCTCTTTCACTTCATTTCACCGTTGGAACCCCTTTTTCTCACTTTCCTTTACACATTTTTTTGTTTCTTTTTCTTTCATTTGGCGGGGTTCCAACTGCAGTCTTTTGCACGGTCGACCCTTATTATTCGAGCAAGAGCAATTTCTGTACATCTGGCGCTCGCCAGAGTACTTCTTTTAACTCCTTTTTCTCAACTCGTGTGGAGGGTCAATGAAATTAAGGGGGGTCAGAAGCTCTATCCGTGCCCTTAAAAACACAATCTCAAGTAGGAAACCCGTTCAACGGGTGGAAGTTTTACTTGTACTAGAGACAGCATAGCTTCACCTTGTAGGAGTACCCCACTAAGGATCCCCGATTTTGTGCAATGAAAGGTGCCAGTTGGGCTTACCCCATGTTTAAGATTTAATAATTTTGACATGGAGGACCAACTACTTTTCATTTTTCACATGAGCACCCTTTTTCGATACACGAGCCCACAACACAACATAAGAGGAGTTATCAATACCACATGAATCAATAGTCCTAAATCCACTAGTTCACAAAATCAACCGGCACAGCAGAGAGACAGATAGAAAAAATCTTATACTTCAACATCCTCCATAGTGCTACAACTACCTCCCTAGGTTGCATATCACGATAAAGACTATCAATTCAAAGCATAATGAGTAGGATTTTGCAGGGAACAGTACTTGGAGCCCTCAATTCATCAAATTGGACAGTGGATTAAGCTCCAGGCACACAAACTCATCTAGCAGTCAAAAATAGATAAACACCCCCCCCCCCCCCACACACACACTTAAGCACGATATTGCCCTCAATGGAGAAGTGGGAGAGATAAGGGGAACGACGTTACCGGAAGGAAAGACTGTCGGGGGACTGGAAGTGGACCAGTCAGTGGGGAACATATGGAACGAACGGAACAGTTCTGCACGAAGGGAGCA